AAGGCCTATTCATAACTCAAATGGGAATCTAACAGCACAGAACGAGGAAGAAAGGATACAGACCTGAGGTTCACTGCGTATGTACCGTCATACCTCATGTGCGCTCTGTCCTGACTAGTTAGAAAAAAATTAAGGTAAAGACCTTTTGTCCATTTGTACCCCTGAGGGTGTATGGCAATGCACATCATAGTGCACATAATTATTATACTAATTGTCCTCTATCAGATGGGCAAGACCAAGTGAAGAGAGATGGAGATCTGGGCATGAGTTGTCCACAAGTGACAAGAGCCTGTTTGCTGCCCGTCCTCGAGTGCCTGACCCCGTAATTGCACAAAATGCCTCATTACTTGAGAGCTCACTATCCCACACGGTCCAAGGGCGTAAATTGTTTGACTTTCCTGAAAAACGAGCACAGGATTTTTGAGATTTATCACTAGCTTCTCTGTTACAGTGAATAACTGGTCAAGGACACGCAGCAGGCTCTGATGCAGTGCTGCCCTGGCTCAGGACTTCTATTGTATCATTGAAGATTATTGATTGCTGTACACAGGACCAATATCCTGCCCACCTGTAAAAAGATAGGAAGCTGTGTGGAAGTCGGAGTGGTAAGTGGGTAGGTAAGCAAAAGGTGTTGTTTCTACTGGTAAAGGTTGTTTTTACTCACTCCCTTAGTATTGTAACAGAGTGGCTGGTAAATCCAGAGCTTTTCAGGTTAAGGTAGGTGGTATCAGCCTGTGATTGCTGAGTGTTTCCAAATCAAAGGAGATCATTGTAGCCTCTGAGCAGGAAATTCTGCAGTTCCATCTCCCAGTCTTCGTGGATTCATCTTTACAAGATTCTGTGGGCTGGAAGTAAGAGTTTGGTATTTACAGGTTGTTTGAGGATGAAAAGTAATTCTACGAGAATCCATTGACAAGCTCCTGGAGCCATCCTGGAGGGCAGAGGGGTAATCAGAGTTAAGACACAGCTGAAGAAAGCTTGCAGCAATAAACGAGTCCAGCAATAGAGGACTGCAGCTGTGAGATGCACTCCAACTTCTGCACTTGCATGCAGGCAGATACCCATAACAGATACCACACAAAGAAAAATAGGTTGCCTGGCCTTAAGTGACAGGGTATGTGTGTCTGTAATGTGACAACACGTCAATAAACACTCAAAGTGCATAGATACTTAGATTAGAGAGTTGTGAATGTAAGTGTATTTGCACCGTTTGTTTCACCACCACAAAGCCACACTGTGGGTTTTCAGAACAAGCAATGTGGAAGGCACGAGCCTCTTTACGGAAATCTCTTTTCCCAAAACTAGGTTTCAAGTTCAGAGAAAAATGGAACATTAGTTGGAGTCACAGGCCGTGTAGCAGGGAATGCGGAGGAATACTTAGAAAGAGGAAGCATTCAGAAAATAATCCTAATTTGCTTCTTATAAAAGAAGCAAGCCCAGCTCAAGATGTCAGCATGCCACTGGAATATTGTATATGTGATGCTCACTCCTGAGCTTTGCTAACCCAGCAGCAGAAGCTGACAGAACAGCATCCTGTTGGCATTCATTATCGAAATCCTGTAACCATTTGCATGATAAGGTCAAGGAATGTTAAGATCGGTTTACAACTGATGGCAGAAGATGGCTTTTTTAATTCTAAGATCCTGTATCAACCTGAAGAGAACTTCAAGTGACTTAACAGGACAGCAGAGTCAACTTTCAGTAAAAGAATATCAAAAGGAAATTTTATCGGTCTCTATAGATCTCTAAGTATATTTAGGTATTCAAGTGCACCATATAACTGAAATACATGGAGCACTTCAGAATCTCATATCCAAGGAAATACTTTTTATGGTCCCTCTGCTGACTTAAATCCAATCATTGTGTATTTTAAAACTTCACAAATAAAAGCTACTAGAATTAAAGCAGATGAGCTTGTGTACAAGTCTAAGCTGTTAAATGTAAGTAAATTTTCCATATCTAACAGTTAATCTGAATTTACCTGCTGTATCTTCAGTGTATCTTGTATAAATATCCTATTATTTTCCAGAAGTCTTTTTCCCCCATAGTTCTTGGAAACACTGGGATATCAAACATTCATGTTAGTAGCTTCCGTTGCTGCAACTGAAGTAGCACTAGAGCTGCAAGGGAGAAATTAGTAGGTGTTTTGCAGAGTTCAGGTTTAGAAACATTAAGCTATTTCAACAATGTGAAGCAATGATTGCCCTTTAAAGAACCTGGTTTGCAAATGGTAGATGCCCTGGGCTTGGAGACAGAGAGGTACAGCAAGTGAGTTGATTCAATACCAGAATTTTACTTCCGTTCCTGAGCTAGCCAAACACTTGCTTTAGCACTAGACTGTCCTTTCATCTTACTCTAAACTGCAAAAATGATCAATCACTCATTTTACTTTTGCACATTCCTCAAAGCATTGCCATATGTTTAAGTGGATATGTTCTCCACTAGTGTGGCTATCCTCGTCCAGATTTTGGAATGTTTCCCATGAAAACTAATGTTGGGAACATGAAAGCAGAATATTACTAATAATGCTCAATAATTTGCATCCTCATTATATAACCTTTTGCCAATGAGCTAAAGAATTTAATATGCATTTAAGAAGACAAAACAGAGATCACAAGAGGCTTTTGCATTTATATATACAGAAAGATATCAGTCTTAAGTCAGCAGTATTGAACGACCATGAAAGATTCCTTTCCCACAACATACTAGAACTTGGATGTGGTTGACATTCTCTTGGGATTCAGACTCATGCCGGAGCATAAGTGCTCATGGATGATCCTCAAATTTACAAGAACAGGTGCTTTAAATTAAATGCAATAAAACAATGTGCACTATTACTGATATCCATAAATTAATCATTGAAGAAAGCCATAGTCAAAACAACATTCCAACTGTAGTTGGAGCACATAGTGCTCATTCTTTCACAGCTAGTATTATACTACCAAATATGAAATAAGAATCATCATCTATAGACTTTTTTTTTCCTAGAAAAGTAAATTAATTCTTGAAATGTAATTAATTTCTTCTCCCTTACCTTTTCCCCCATCCTTAAAAGTGGTACAGCCATAACTTGAGATCTAAGCAGCTTTACTCCATGAATCGCAGTGGAAATAGGAGTTCTCTAGTATTACATATCCAGCTTTATGATGGAGCAGTAGTTACAATAAGCACTGTGTGTGAAAAGCTTTACTAATGGCATTCTCAACAAAATTTGGCTTGAAAAATAATAGTTTTTGTAAATATATTATCTCTATGAAGATTTTAACAGTAATACATCAAGTCCTATAGATGACAGATGTCATGATCTTTAAGTCCTAATGCCTAGGAGGAGTTTAAATAAGAGTGTCAAGTACAAATACAAATTAAATACAAAACTGGAACTGCTTAATTTCTGCCTAATCCCCTTTTTCTACTGCAAATGCATGACTTTGTTTTGCTTTGTTTCCTCTGCTACTTTGATTCAATATCCAGAGCAATATAATAAACTCTACCAAAAACTCACTTCAGTCTTCACAGTTAGCGGATTCTTTAGCTTGTAAATACGCTGAAAGAAAACTAAACCAGACAAACAAAAAAGCCCAAGCTGAATGCTCATGAAGTGCTGCTGCAGCACCCTCTACTGGTTAATAATGCTGATACAACGACCTTAGGAAATTTAAAAGTAATTCCAGCTATAATACCCAAGTCATTTGCAATTTAGGCACTATTTTCTAAATTAGAAAAAAAAAAAAAAATTCTTCTGCAAAAGCCAGGCCATAGAAGACTAACACTAGGAAACGCAAGAAAAAAAAAATACAAGTTCATATTAAGAAAAGTCCTCCCAAATAGCTAACAAAGTTATTTCAATAATAATAGGCAACTTTTCAGTCACGAGTTTAAATAGAGCAGCCAATAATCAGAACTTGAAGAAGGAAGAGCAATAATTCAAATGTTTAATGAACTTCTACCTTCCAAATAGAAGGAAAATTTGTAAAAAGACAAAAATACATAAACACTTAAACACATGAAAACATTTTAAAATGCAACATATTTTACAGGGATACAAAAATTTGCATCTGCCTACAGAATGGACGTTGAGAAATGGTAGGCAATTCTACACGATAAACTCAGTTGGGGTTAGGTCCGTTCCAACAGCTCAACCTACGTAATATACAAAAAATATACAAAAGCAATCTAGACTGCACCAGCGATATTACAGATACCTCCTAAATTTAAATAGCACAGCCTCCTCACTAAAATTCTAACGTTTTACAAACTCAATGTACCAAAACCAAGAGACAGATTGTACTGGACAAAGACACGGAATATCAGAACAAACTTCTAGTTGAAAGGGATCACACAGATGGAACCTGATGGCTTTGAGTCTGTTGTACCACAAAGTCTATGGTCAAGCACAGGGATCTTTAGTCTTCATGACAAAAGTATTTCTGACTTTGGCCACCTGATTAGTTGTTACAGGTTATTTGGTTAATCAGCAGCAGGACTATAGTTTCTGTGTTTTGGGAGGAGTTCCAGGAAACTGATAAAAATCAAGTGTGATGTGATATGTTAAAATGCTACGAAGAAGTGAAGTAGTGATAGTGAAAGTAAATTCCAGTCATGTTAATTTAGAAAATACTCATAATTATTTTATACAAGAGCTCTGTAAATCAACCCAGAACAGAATTAATATGCTATATCAGAAGAATATCCATACTAGGGAAGACTACATATACAAGGAGGCCAAGACCACTGGTGACTGAAAGAAGATAAAAGGCAGATTGGATTTATAAAAGACATAAGAAATTCTTCCTTCTCCTCTTTAGAGACCTCTGCTTTTATAAAAACTTGTGGCCTACACCAAGCATCCTGGATATCAACCAATTATTAGACAAGATTACTAAAGAGCTGAGTAGCTAACAGCACTCCTATTCTGGTGAGAGACAGCTTGAATTCTTACAAGACTAAAATCAAAGAATATCCAGTCTGACTTCTTCAGTCCTGCATGCAGATCTAGTGCATCATCTGGGATCCTGGAGCAAATTTTGATGAATCAAGCTGACTATTCTCCGCAGATAGTGGTAACCAACAGGTACATTGGACAGAACAGCAGAAATCTCCTCCTCCCTGTGAAAGATAAAATTATCACACGTGTTTGAGAGGATATGGAACATTTAATTCCCCACCCCTAGCTTTGAAACTTAAGTCATATGGAGTGGTTCTTTCTGTTCAACTCACCCAATATTCCCAATTTGGTTTTGGACAGTAAAAGGCAGTGAAACAGATGGGTAGCTGGCAGATAGAGACAGGGTCAACTCAAACTTTGCAAAAACTGTGGAAGCGGAGAACAAAAGCTTCACTCTGTATGCGAAACAAACACAAACAAAAAGATCAATACAAAATATTCAAATGTAGTGCTACCACCTTTGAATTAGGTTCCAGATAGAAAAACAAGTGATGTAATTGATTCAACAAGCTCAATAACTTCTAAAGAATTCCAGCATAGACTAACAGTAACTTCATAAATAAGGTTAAAAGAACCTTTCTTCTGTAATACTATCAACATTTTAACACTGAGTTAGAATACAAAACCCCAACTTTCCTCACAGAAAAAGTTAATACACACATAATTCACAGAACCTTTCAAAAATTATGGGAGAATATAAAGTAGTAATCAAAAATGTGTTTTCTAGGTTAACATAAAATATTCCTAGGTAGCTTTTCTGAAGTTTTAAGTAGGACTGATTTACCTTCAATTCCATAATTCTAAGATTGTTTCATGAATCCAACTCTATTTAAATCAGGCCAAATTTCCATCTAGCACAGTACTCTTGCCTATGACAACGTGCAGGAAGGCCAGAGTTGAATATTGTAAATATGGGTAAGACCATCACCAAGGACATAATGCCCAGGAAGCAGATGCTTTGGGATAGCGTAAACTAGAACAAGCATAATACAGGCCTTTTCCAGGTAAATCTCCCACAATTTGCAACTTCCTGAGCACAGACTGCCCTTGCATCTGTTTTGTTGACTTAACTAAATACAGCTTTTATGGCATGTAGTAGAACGCCACTCTTGCAAAGGGTACTACAAAATTAGAACAACCTATGGAAACAGCATCAAGGCATGAGCAAGATTAACTGGGCACATCTTAGTTAAGGATATACATCAACAATAGAAGAATAAAGTGAAGTAGTATTTATGTTGTTCCACTGGGACATGCCACAAAATTGGGAAGTAGTATGAGCAAAAGAAAATTAAAGAAAACTTTAGTTTAAGTGCATTCATCCTTCAATGACTGATTCTGCTTGGCTGAAGCAAATAGAAGATGAAAAGAAACAAAGCACTAAGATACAGGTAAACTCTCGGCTCTGTTTCCTTTGCATTGCTACACTCTGGCCTAAAGTTTTAAGTGAGTCAAGTCAAACAGGAAAGCAGCAAGGAAGGAGAGGTTATATGATAGTAAGGAAGTGGCTGAATCCAAGAACAGCTTAATTTCCATGTATTTGAATACTACAGTGCAATTGTATTAAAATAAATCAGATTGCTGTTAAAGATAGTGGCATAAAACCTCAGTTTCAAGAAAACCAAATTGAAAGTATTTCAGTGTTTTGTTCCTGATTATATAGAGACACTCTCTGAAGGACTGGTGTAAACTCCATCTAAGTTACTCACTTTGTGTCATTGATATCTGTTTTCAGAAGATTAAATTTTCCACCCCATCTCTCCAGAAATTCAATCTCCTCTCCTAAGATCTTGCAATGACTCACCACCAAAGAGACATCATGAAGAACCTAAGTGGGCAATCAGAAAAGCAATCACATTGGCACTCAGGCTGGTAAACTATGTGACACTTGAAAACACAGTTAATCCTAGAAAGTATAGAAAAAAAAAAAAGTAGTTTAACTGCTATCTCAGTTTGGATGTGAAAATGAAATTGTACAAGCATAACAACAAATATATATACTCTTTGCCCTAAGTTTCTCCCTTCAGCTTTGTCAACAGGGGTACACAGATATGCAGGAACACCAAGTTTGCCTTGGCAATTTAAACCATTAATTCTTTAGGAAGCAGAATGGCATTCAGCTCAATTCTTTAATTTCTACTAGCAGAAAAAAAAGAATTTTAAGAAATCACTAAGACAGGCAGACATTAATGTAGCAAACAAGGAAGAAACCACAGCTTTTAGGACTCTTGCCTTCAGGGACGGGTACTTCCCCTCGCACCTCAGAATATTCATGAAGCAGATTTTTATTTGCATTGATGAAGCATTCATTAAGATGCTTTTGTTCTCAGTACCAGCCCTATTCTCTGTGACAGAAAAGATTTAATGTTTTTCCGGAGTCTTATAGGCTTTCCCGGAACATTACCTGGGGCAAGTAGTACAGTGTGGGACACTTTTCCTGCCAGCATCCCTGACTTTCAATAAACTGGAAGATGAGTCTCTGGACTAAACATGAGGAGGGTGGAGCTTCTTCCTCTGTAGCACAAAAGAAAAACACGTTGCCAGAAATCTTTTAAAAGCCATATAGTAATGCATTAGCAGATAACCTGTTCTTGGGAAGACATCTGTAAATTTGTGGTTTATCAGGGCAGCTACTTTCAAGCTACTTGAAAAATCTTACCATCCAAAAGAGATTCAAAGTTCAGGCTAACTATCTTTCTGGAAGGATCTTCACCAAAAACATCACCATCTGAGAAGGAAAGGAAAAACAGTAGTTATTTCCATACTTAGTTCTGGAGTTACAGCTCTTTCTCTTCAGAAACAGCCATTCATTACATACTTTTCTGAATTTTCATAGAAAGCACTGATAAACATATTCAAAGCCACCTCTCTCAGCTTACACGCTAGTGCTGTAGTATGTTTTCTAATTCCTTTTAGCAGATCTTCACAAATATAGAAACTTTACGTTTCTATTATGTAACTATTTAACCTTTCAAATTCATAAAACTGAAACCTACCAATTTTGCGACTTACCTATTGGGGGTCCAAACACAACTGTGAGTTCAATAGAATCATAAAGAAAATTAAAGACAGCCTGCTGTTCACTCCATTCAGTAATCTCCCACTCAGTGAAGCTAAAAAGGGGAGGAAAAAAACACCATCACCCTAAGTTTCAACCAACCAACCAAAAAAATTATCTGAAGGACAAAGATCAGTGAATTAAGTGCACTTGCAGCTATTACCACATAATACACCAACAAAATTTTCACTTTCCAACAGAATGTAAGAATCTGTTGGGAACGAAAGCATAATATTATTCATTTTACATAAATGTTCATTTTGGAATTGGAGGAGCGTTGGACATAGAAAGACTGAACGTAGAGTATCACTGCAAAGTTGTTAATAGAAAAACACTGCATAACACACAGAAGTTCACCGAGGCTTCATTGCATATCCTAGGCTGCGAGGAGATGGGCATCCAAAGATTTCCCAAATCAAATAACAAGAAAAACCAAAACCAAAACTATTTAAATACGAATATGAGGCCCCAGAACAAGCTGATAAAAATAAAACCTGAAGGTCTTTTCCTTACTCGTATGTCTCCAGGAGTTCCTGGCAGCTTTTTTCTTCTTCCTTTAGCTGGTTCATCTGAGCAAGCATTTGCTCATTCTGAGCCTCCAGATCTGACAGTTCTCTGCAAAGATAAACCAATCACATGAGATGTAGCATACTGGTTACAAAAACACCAGTTTTTGTATGTGCAAACCTGGATGTGCACATGTTATTTAAGGTCTTTAGATCCTCTTTGACATCTTACCTTTGAAGTTCCTCTTCTTGGGCTTTGAGGCTTTCCAATTCTAAGAGAAAGGGAAAAAAGCTATGAGAGAAAACAGCAGCAAAGACAGCCCTAACTTGCTCTGCAGTCACTGTTCTTAACAATATGAAAGAGCTCAACTCAATGGCTGTTACTCCTACCTGGATGCAGATATGCGGTCAACAAAGGCTAGTAATTATTGAACAATTAAAGTGCTGAATATGATAGCCAGCACACACTCTTCAAGTCACACTGTACCAAGTTCTAAACTCTCTTTTTCCAGGGGTAAAACAGTCCTTTTCGTACTTTAACATCTGTGTAATTAGCTATATCCAATGCGGAAAAGAAAGCAGTAGTGTTTGCATCCACATCAGAATTAATATATTGGGGTGGGGGTTGAGTATCACCCTCTCCAGAATTTAAAAAACAAAACAAAAAGTGCCATTCAGCTGGTACCATTACCTTCCCCTAGGGTTTTCCCTCCTGCCATTTCATCACTGCAGTCTGCTTCCCATTCTTCCCAGTCAGAATCTATAGGAAAGAAGTATCAGGTCTCTGCAGAACTCCCAGATTCAACACTTAGATTCCATTTTATTTGTCTGTGAGTTCTATAAATCTTAGTATTTCAAAGCTAACTAAGAAAAATGTACAAAAAGCTGGAAGGGTATCTACCAAAAAACCTCAAAAAGTAACAGATAACGAGGAAACCTCCTTTTATTGCATTGTTTCAAAGCTGCTACTGTGCAATTTGATTTCTACTTAGGCATTGGAAGAAAATCCAATTGGAAGAAAAGAAGTGAAAATACACAGAGCATCATTATGCAGCAATGCCAAGTACTGACTGCAGCTTGTGTGAACACAGCTGAACAAGTTTTAAACCATCCAGCTATGATGCTGAAAACAGTACAGTCTGGAGTGCAAAGCTTAGTCTTGCCTAACTGCAGGATCGCTGGCAGGCTTTGCAGCCATTTTGAACTGCGTGCTGCCAGCAGCTGTACTGGTATCGCTAGCAGATTTAGCCAGCTTGGTTACATGTTCATAGGCTACAATTATAATTGTGTATTTCAGCGCAAATATACTCCCAGTCTTCATATGATGTGTAAGTGATTCCCACAAGACGAGTTTGCAGACACAAATGAAGGCATTTAGGCCTAACAAATACTTGTAACAAAGGAATTGTAAAATTCCAAGCAACCACCAAACACAGAATCTTGAACTGACCATTTAAACAGCAGCTCTGCAGAAAAATAGAGAAATCAGCATATCGGTCACCGGTTTGGAAACGCATACCTGCTTCCAGAGCAACAAGACAGCTCTCTGCCTCCTTGAGCAATTCATCCACCTTTTCTATCCTTGACTGTAGCTTTCCGTGTTGTTCCTAAGATGGGAAAATTGTACTCAAGTCAGTGACATTTTTTAAAAAGCTGAATTGTCTCCTGGGACCACCACATGGATCTTTGCTTGCTAAGAAACTAATTAAAGAAGCTGATATAATCTATCATTAGAACGAAGGGGCAGACTGAAAAACATTAAGGCATTAGCCATACGTAAGAAAGTACTAGATACTGAACAATGTATCTTCCTAATGACTTTTCTTATGAAGGGATGAGATAAGACATGGAAATAAATAAATTCCTAGAGCTTTTAACACATACAAATTTCTGATACCTATCACAATGCATTACTTCTGCATTTCCTTGTCAGTTACTAATACTGACATTACTACAGTGTAAAGAGCTAATTTCTGATGGCATTTCCTTTAATACTCCCATTTTTCACTCTGTTACTTTAATTGCCAAAACCCTTAGGCAGAAGGTTCCTACAGCGTAAGTGCAAGAAAGTCACTGTTCCAGTATGTTTTACATTTGCATATAAATAGAGAGAAGTACGTTTAATAAGAAGGAAACTTTCAAGAGAATGCACACTTACAGAGAATAATTAGGCTCCTAAACTTGACAGTCAGAGATGGACAAAATATGGTAGAAGTTCCTTTTTTTAAAGCTAAACCTCTGCAGCCTTGTGGCACATTACCTGCGCGCTCTGCAGCAATTTGCTGTACAATGTCACTTTCTCGTTGTGAGCCAAGATTTTACTCTCCTTGGTGAAATAGGATTTCATTTTGTTCAATTCTGCTCCAAAGTTCTTCAGCTGCAATGAATGGAAAATACATAAGAGAAAGTGAATGGGAATGTGCAACAAAAGATTGTTCAGTCAACCCTTTAGACTCATTCTCCCTTCTCTGCTCCTCCCATTTCTCTAGTAGCAGTATTACATGACACCTGCAAATTAAATCAAATTTAAGACTGGACAATCCCTGTTATTTCAAGTACAGTTGTCTACTAAAGTAACTGATTTTCTTTGCAAAGATCCAACAAGATCTTTACTCAAATAGGGAGCCGCGCAAATAACTGAAGAGATGCTTTTATCAAAAACCAGGGCACCTTCATTAAGAACATCAGAAGTCTCTCATCCCACTTGTTTGAGATATGTATTTAGAACACTTGTCCCATTACGGTTAAGGAGGCTAACTGAAATGCTCACGGAAGTCCAGGCAGAACCCAACGCACAAGAAGTAAACTTAAAACCTGTTTTAACAGAACATAGCTACAGATCATGCAGTTCAATGTTTTCTCTGACAGCTGTCAATCCAGAAGCTGCAGAGAAATGTACAAAAAGCTTTTTTCTACAATGTTTGCCATCTGCCTATTTCCACTAGGTGGTATCATTCCAATTCTAATTGCAGTGTGTAGAGATTTGCTTAATAATCTTTCAAATTTGTTATTCTTAGCTAAGGGTTCTAGGTGCTTTCATTGTTCATAAGCATAATTCTTCCTGAATCTAGTTAATAACCTAGCCTCAGTGATATCCTATATCAATCTAATGATGAACTATGAAAAATACTGTCTTTTAACAATTTTGACTCTTTATTTTCATTGAATAGATCTTTATTTTATTCTTGGCATTAGAACCACGGAAAACAGAATCTCTTGATCTACCTTCTCAATTCTGACTGGGATACTTTTATAATGCTTCTGGGTTTTAAATGCAAACGTCTTTGGCATGCTTTTTTGTCCCCATTATCATTAGCATTCTCCTTTAAATACCCTCTGGCCTCATCTTTTGTTTTGGCATGTGACACCATTGTTGCACTCCAAATGCAGTTTTATTTTTGTGTAATGACACATATTTTCTGTTCATTATATGTCTTGCAACATCACATGTCTTTCTGAACTAAATAAACATTTAAGTTAATGGACAATTTTGCTCCACCAATGAAGCAACAGAGCCTCTACAGTAAGAGGAGTACATTTTTTCCTTCCAAAATTGCACTGTTTGTTTGGGCCCATCTAAAATTTCTTTCCTCTTTCCTGCCCTCAACTAACCTGAATTATCAACTTCAATTATCAAGTTTTTCTGTTTTATGGCAACATGTTCCCTTTAATATGCATTCTTCTGACATATTGGAAGTTCTCATAGCAGTTTTCCATTCAGAAAATATTTTGCCTTGTATCACCTACTTGCCTACTATTATTCTGTGACCATTCTGGTTCTTATTTTATTTGAATACATAAATTAACCTTACTTCTTCATTATGTAAAAACAACATTATCTCTTCATGCAGTATTACCTCTTCATCAGAGCAGGTTCTCATTACTTCCCACAAACTCTTATTCACATTCACCAGGAGTTGATCCTGGAGATCTGCATACGGTTTTAACCTGAAATGTGGAAAAAAAGTTGAAATAAAGCCTTGTTGCAACTGGACCGAGCACATAAAGCAGCACATTGGTATTTATACAATTCATTCTGCTTTTCTAATTAAAACATGGAAATGTAAATATTTTCGTTTAGTTGAGTCTTACATCTTGGAGAGACCCTCTAAAGCCTTGATTAAATGGGGGCCATGTTTGTTAAACTCTAGCACATAATACAAAGATCATTTCCTCTAGTCTTTTTGTTGAGGGCAGGTCTGAACAGAAGGTGGAGAGCTAGAGAGCCAAAGAAATAGGAAGTGGTGCTAATGAGGCTGTGAAAAATCTTTCTACCAATTCTGAATTTTATCATAAAACTTGATTTTGCACATAGATTGTAAAAGGCCTAATGAATCAGACCAGAAGTGTCCTTCAGATAAGAAAATAAATCATGATGACGATATTTCAACCTAATAAACATTGGAAGATTGGAACAAACAACGGGTAGTAACCTGTTATGATTCTGCTTTCTATATTTGATCATTTTTGATACAATTTAAAAAGTTTTACTCTAACTCTTCTGATGTGCAGCTGAAACACTCTATTAGTAAAAGATAAATTACTTGAGGAAAATAAAACTTTAATTAGCTCCATAACCACAACTCCTCCCCAAGAGTTAGCCCTATACCGTCTAAATCTGTAATAAACTGGCTACCAGCATAAAGTAGGTAAATGATCATTTTTTATTTTTCCCATATGTAATGTATTAACTTTCTTCAGGCCACTTTGCATGCAACCAGAGCTGAAAAAATAAAATTACTAACATACTCTGTGACTGAAAAAACACTTACTCATCTATCATCTGAGAAAGGGCCTGGCAATCTTCTTCATAAATACGCAGCTTGGGGCGATAAACATACTGGCTGTAAATGAGGTCTTCTGGAGTAGGTGGTGCACTGACTGCACACTGGGGAAAAACAGAGGGAAAAATTGTGAAGAAAAAGAAAAAAATGCATATTTTTCAGAACCAGTAACTTCCAATCAATTCATGTACAGAAATCAGCAAAAGGCCTGGAATCATTATTTTTGCAGAACAGAGAAAAAAAACCAGAAACCTTAATGGAGGCAGCCTGACATACTTAAACAATTGTTTTCATTCTGGACTTGTCCTATTCCATTCTGAGACAAGTTAGTCATATAACCTTGGATAGCTCATTCCACTTTTATGCCCCAGGTTTCCTCATGTTTGAGCATGGAGTTCCTTTTGGGACATATGCCTCATCACTAGAGCTCAAAAAAAAAAAAAATTGAAAGTTAACTTCCTTTTAGATGAAGACTTGAAAAACATGCGTACATTATCCAGGTAACAAGAGTGCTCTAGAATAAAACAAGATAGCTATGCTTGATTCAGAATTGAAGTTCCCAATTTTTCAACAAGTCTTAGGCACATCAGATAAATACAATGGGGCTATTTCAGCAAGCTACCTACATATTGAAGCACATAAATAATTGACATTAATTCCATCCCTTCAGAGAAAGCTTTCAGGGGCTTTTGGGGGGTGGGAGCGGAGTTTGTTTTTTATCAGAGATCAGTCACTAATGAATGGTGTCAGAGTTTTGTAAGCCTGATGAATATTTAGAGACAGCTCAGTATGAATAAATTTGCAAACTGAAAGTGTAAACTAAACTGTAACTAAGACAGTATAGCATTTTAAATAAAAACGGAAGAGATTTACAAGTCATAAAGGAAGCCATTTAATCAATACAAATTATATTAATTGTAGGTAGTTAGGGTCTGGCGGCCGGAAAGGTAGGGCCCCTCCCCTGATAGCCCATAGTGGTCAGTTTGTAGTGTAAGCAGACGGAAGTGACGTCATAAACCCAAGGTATATAATGCTGTGTTACTTATCAATAAACGCCATTTGCCGTCCACCACATTGGTGTCTGCGAGCTGATGGCCCGAGCGGCCCGGGGTTGGTCGCCGTGCCGTTCCTGAACCAGGTCGCCACGCCTTATGAATGCAACAATTAATTTAGCTGCAATTCTTTTTAATCAGTTTTCATTCCTTTATCATAACAGTTTTAAAGAACTTGAAAACTGACAGACTTTTTACTCGCTCTTGCTAAGTTGACACACAGGAATTTTATTCAGCCAGCAGTGAGGCAGTGAAGAAAGGCAGAACACCACGTGTGCCCCACAAACATATAAAACCAGCTGTGTGCGCTGGCTTTCTGCAAACTAACAAAAAAAGATCCACAGTTGCAGTCCTTATTTCCAAGAAGAGATCTAAATTTCTAATGTGAATATTCTACTGACATATTTGCCCTGACAACATGACATCTTACAGCAGTAAGACTTGGTTCTACAGGAGCCAGTTTTTAACTAATCTGAAGTACTAGAATGATTTCACAATTAAAGAATTTTCACAAAAATACCACTTTCCATTTGAAGAATATGATCTTAACCACTCCTTTTCATACATAGTGACTACTTCACTCTTACCCTTATTATTATAAAGACATATTAAAAATTCCTACCAAAACAGGTGTCCTGCTACCTATTTGAAAGAAGGAAGATCAAGTCTTGTTAGAACTTACTTAACATTGAACATACTACTGAAAAGTTCTCCAGCACTCTAGAATAAGTACTGGCATAGAAGAAACTCCCAAACCAGTGTCAAAATTATGCAGACACTGCCAAGGTTTTCCACTTTCCAGGATGGCTATTCCACTGCCCCAGTGCATTGTTCACTGTGCTAGTAGAAACTGTAGTAAGCAGCAGGAAATGGAAGTATTTGAACTAAATCCCCATATACTTTATTAAATAAATACTAAGCATTGTAATCTTACAAACAAATTTTCTCTGTTTATGAAACTTGAAACTTTTCCATGTCAGTGCAATACCTACGTACAGAAAACTAAGCAGCTCATTCACACTACTTCATTACGTAAGTACCATTCCTTATAAAAATTATTTGCGAAATCCAGACAGGTAACAGAGACCAGCCCCAGCACCCAGTTAGAAATTCAGTTGGCTACACAAATGTGTACAAGGCCTTGTTTTCAGGATGCTTGTGAGGTAAGATTACTGTCTTGTTGAGCATCAAGTTACTGCCAATGAGTGGCACTTGTCTGCGTGCAAAAAAACTGTTGTTCCCATGTCTGCAAGAATTCAGCAGAAACCTTTCAGGATGAGGATACTGAAACTGGGTTCAGGCAGAACAGACTTCAGGGGAAGAAATAAAGAGTACTAGTGTCATGGTGAAGCACTTCTAAAGAAGAGAGTAGAACAGGTAGTAGGAGTGCAGAGTAGCATTTCAGGATTCTGATTTCAGTGGATGGTGGACATAGTAAGAAGATGAAGTGAAAAGGTTAGACTGAGCTTCTAATTCTTACCTTCAAACTTATCGTCCTTAAAACAGGTTAAAAAAGCAAGAATTAGCTATTTATCCAAGAACAGATAAGCCTGAATATATGGTATTTTGTGAAGAGACTGAAATCTGTTCTGTTTTTCAGTACTGAAGAAAAAAAAGCATCAGACTTATCAGAGGTGAACAAGCAAAGAGACAAGAGGAAGCATGCAGTGTCTAACACACTTGCCAAGGTGGAACTGACTTCTGGCTTAACTCATTTAAAGGCCTTTAATACAGACTGGTTAGTTGATAAAAATTAAAAAAAAAAAAAAAAAGACGAATATAATTTAAGGTCAATTATATCATGCATATCAAAGGACAGATACTCACACTAGCTGGAAGATGGCTATGCCGGGGCTTCTGAATCGGAAGATGGACTTGAAGAAGTGTAAAAAACTCCCCAACTGTGATAACACCATTCTGAAATTTCTGAAAAGATTAGGAAAAATGTACAGCTAAGTAATTTTTTCAAGTAAGAACACTTACTTGCATATATGCACACAATTATTTTTCCTGTTAGGACAAGAAGTTAGCTTCTTTCAGCTATTTACATACCTCCCGCAAATTATCTTCACAAATGCTATCTGTGAGAAGCTGAGACTCCATCTGACTGCTTCGCTGAACTAGCCAAAAAAAAAAAAAAAAAAAAAAAAAAAAGAGTTGGGGGGGGGGGGGGAAATATTGCTGGGATTAATAATATTCTTACGGAAATATGAACCTAAGCTCATTAATTCTAGAAAAAAAGCAATTTTAATGTAGAGGTTGACCTTTATTTGTGTTTCCAGTGCTGAATGAAGTAACTGAGGAAACAACTACTCAGGACAAATAATAAGGAGAACTAGATTAAGAATCTAACGTAAAATAAAATCTGTGTCAGAGCGGTAATGAAACGACAGAGTTCACTTTTCTATGGGAGGAAACCCATATGTAACATACTAAAAAATAATAAAACTGAGAGAGACTCCAACCATTCACAGAGGGCGTCCTATGTAGACAGAGACCAAAAAGCATCTGAGCTGCCAGCAGCTTTCAAGGTAAAAACATGGCATTCAAGTTCTGAGCCAACAAGGGCTAGTTTCT